GGACATGAACTCTGGGAAGTGGAGACAAGTGGTAAACCTAGTAAGTGTCCCTTGTCATGAGCAATTCAGATAATGAGAAAAGCCATCCTGAATCCCGGTCACTGCCTTAGGCTGCTCACTGATTCCACTCTGGTCCCAGCCACTGCCGTCCCTCTTTTAAGTTGTTGCAATTGCATCCCAAATTATCCTCCTACTTCTGCCCTTACCCCCTTATGTCTATTCTCAATATTAGCAACTAGAGTGCTTTTTAAAAAATACAAATCAAATTATGTCACTCTTAAAACCTTTCTATAATGGAGAGCCATTTCATTAAAGGAAAAGTCAAGTCCCCTTTGTGACCTGCAAAGTCTTAACTTGACCTCATCTCCTCTGCAACTTGCCCCTCGCGAGTTTCCAGTGCTCCCTCAAGTTAGCCTCCCTGAGAAACACTTCTGTGTGTACGTGGTGCTACGGATGGAACCCAGGGCCTCACACACATTGGGCAAGTGCTCTATCCCTGAGCTACAGCCAGCCCCTCACAACCCCTCAAACACTGCAAGCGCAGAGCTTTAAAGTCTCCAGGACTTCACAATGGCTCTTCCCTTCCTGGAAGGTTCCCCCCCTTCGACATTCATGACATGCTCAGGTTTTGATTGAAATGTCACTATTTCATGTGACATCTTCCCAGCTGACATTATTTAAAATCGAACTCTCAAAAAAATGAATGCTAGAGGGCATGGCGGCGCACCGGTAGTCCCGGTACCTGGGAGGCTGAGGCAGGAGGGCAACTTCAGTCCAGGAGTCAGGGAGCCTGGACAACAGAGCAAGATAAGAGGGAGGGAGAGGGACAGAACTCCACAGGCACAAATACTTCAGGATAAAAAAACCTTAAACTCTTTTGCACCAATACTCCCTATTCTGTCTGCTTTATTTTCTAGCACTGGCCACCATCTAACATACGTATTTTCTTGTTTTGCTTGATGGCTTATTTGTTCCACTAAAATATAAGTTTCATAAGTGTAAGGATTCTTATCAGTTTTGTCCCCTGATCTATCTCCAGAGTTTAGCATGGTGCCTGGCACATAGTAGGCACTCCAATGTTTGTTGAATGAATACATTCCCATCTGAAGGGCATTCTATTACAAATTCTATAAAAATATGCCCAACACTGAGTGGCTTCAGCCACAGACTGAACAAACCACAGGAGACTCTTGCATGTGAAAGGCAAGCCACCAACCAGCCCTTCCAAGGGCACTGCAGTCCCTTTGAAAGACGCTTATCAGGCTCCTACCACAACTTGTTCCCCAAGAGCTCTGTGTGGAGGGGATGCCAGGCCAGGCAACACACAGTGTGTCCTGTCTCACACGTTAGTCAAGGTGTACAAGTGGATCGGGAGAGAAATCAGGAGCTGCCAGGGAGGCGTTCTCAGCGACAGCAAGTGTCCCTGAAAAGGACTTCGGAAGAAAAAAGTGAAAGTGGCAGGCAACTGGGGCAGGGCAAAGGATCCCCAGATGAGTCAGGTGTTGAGGAGGTCG